CCCCAAAACCCCAAAACCCCAAAACCCCAAAACCCCTTTCCAGGCGTAGATTTTTGAACTTGGAAAATCTCAGCGGTGATTTAATATAATATTATATAAAATGGTAAGCACTGGATAACAACCCTAAAGAACTTGATGTTTATGTTTGTTTAGCAGAAAAGGTGTGATAAAGTAGGTGTTAAGGAAAAGCCGGAGATTCAAAGATCAAAGAAGAGAAAGCGATCAAGGTCTCGAAAATAAAAAGCCAGAAGGGTATTTCTTACTAGGGTTAATGCCTATAGATGTTTTCATCAATTTATTTCCTTCTGATGCTGTTCTTCTACAGAAAAACCTGTGAGTGTAAATTTTCTTCTAAACGCCTACAAATCTAATCCCAAAAACAAATTTGAATCTTTACTCTCCCACTTCTTTGTGCGTTTCAGTCTTTGGCTTAGTCCAGGCCTTTAAGTGCCTGCTTGGGGGTTAGATTTGGAATTTCTTTGGAAGCTGACTGGGATTTTTGGGGGTATCTCTAATCACCCATTACATATCTGAGCTCTGTATTGCCGACACTAATTAAATTCTTCTGCCTAAACCCTCCAGTCTCCATAATGGCTCTAGCTTATGGCTACTGCTTGGATCTCTGGATGGCTAGAAAAGCTGAATTTTAGAGGTTATAAGGGTACAGGGAAGAGGAATAGAGTCGAAGGGCAATTGAATTAGAAGCTATTAGAAATTTGACTGATATAATATAAATCTGTGCTTTAATAACTTCTTTTTATAGAAAAATAAAAATAAAAGGACCATTCCTGCGAAAGAGACGGTGTTTAGCCAAATGGCTAAGACTAACTCAATTGCGGAGTACACTAATAGTAAGAAGACTATATTGGGTTATAAGAGTTATCCTAACTAAACCTCTAGATAAAAATTCTTTACACTTACACAAGACCGAGCATACAAGTGTAAGGAGTGAGATCAACAAGAGATTGAGCACTGTAGGGAGGTAAGGCTTTTTCAGGACTAGACTTCACTGGGCATAGAAGAAACAGGCTTAACTCCAATGATAAATAAATCTAACAGTGATATTCTCCGGAACAAACTCGGCACAAGTAGTGATCAATATTTCGACATGAATGATGACAAAAGCAAGACTTGAGTGAAAAGTAATATAACAAAGGTATATTATAGAACCCAATGTGAAGAAGTACTTCGGGTTTCAAGAAGAAATCGACGAGTGAGAAGAATTCAAAGAGAGGTAAGATAGAGAGTCTTGGGAAAGCACAAGGGGTTAAGGAAAAGAGCTTAATAGTTAATCAATTTAGTAATGACAAAACTTCATCAATGATCATGGATAGTGAGCATCTAGGTAAGACTTTTAGTGATTCTTTAGAGTCTGTAGCTCCTCTTCCTTCCAAAAAATCTAATAACAAAAGCCCTAACTCTAGTAAACCTAAGATGGCTACAATTGTTCGTCGAAAGACTGTTCAATTTAATGATGAAACAACTATTATTAAGGTTCCGAGTGGACAACAAGGATCGCAAAAGCCAACCGTGAAAACTACCTCTCGTATTTCTCTTCTAATTTTTAGGCTCAGTTGAACTTCGAAAGAGCGAGACAGTTAAGCTTTTCCCAACGATCGGTAAACATGAAGAAGCAATTGATGAAATACAGAAACTAAAGAACAAAGCTGGTCGCAGAAGATCTTTCCAATGCTCTCTTCCTTTCGGACAAAAGAAAAAGTCTATAGGTAAGCAATATAAACTATCTTGACAATAATTATTATCTTTAGATACAAAATTCCAAGAGCTTGGTGGTATTGATGAGAGAAGTATCTATCATACACAGGCAAATCAGACTGAGAAGGATAAAACAGCAGTGGAGCAGTATATGCATCCAGACCTATTCTAGCCCTCTTATTAAAGTTCTAAATCATCTATATTTTCAATATGTTAGTAATATTTCGGGGTTTTGGGGTTTTGGGGTTTTGGGGTTTTGGGG